ACACACACACACACACACACACACACACACACACACACACACACACACACACACACACACTGTGGCCAGCTTTACTGAAACATGGGACTAGGCAGCTCATGGACAGGTTTCCCTTATCAAGTTGATCCCCTTTGCAGCAGGTTTTCAAGATCCACCATCAGGCTGTGGCCAGTCTGCTTGTCCTGGTGCCTGAACCTATGGAACAAGGGGGTTTTATTGTTCTGTCACCTTAATGATAGACGGCTTGTTAAGGAGGGACCAAAGGGGAGGGGGCGTGGGGTTGTAACTAATGAATGTGAATGATGTTGTGTTGCCTTAGAATGAATCCCTTGACAGCAAGGTGATGGATGTAGAGGTATCTAAATTCCTTTAATTTCTGGCCAGGGCCTATGTGAGAAGGTTGGTTGATGTGACTGATTGCTCTGAAGGTAAGATGGATGAGAAATGGGAGAAATTTGGAAGAAAAAACTGGGAGACTGAGCTTTTCAGGGAATTTAGCACAATTTTCATGGAGTTCCCATTGTTCCAGGTTTTCTTAGTGAAAACCTCTGATATAATCCCACAGTAAACACAAGGCTTGTTTTCTTGGAATGACCATTTGAACAGGATACCAGGGATCATTTTGTTTCTGAAAATCTTTCTTCAGATTATTTGCATCAACAAGGTCCTGGGGATAATGTCAAAGCATTAGGTTTATAGGTTCTTTGGCTGAAGATTCTGCTAGTAATGAATGGAGAAAATCCTGATCACTTCCCTAGCAGGGTGTCGCAACTGGTGTTTCAGAATGGGTCCTATGGCATCTGCATTTACTGAGGGTTTAACTTCAGAGCTAGGGCTGGGGGTGTAGCTCAGTGGTGCTGCACCTGCCTAGCAAGGTGCTGAGTTTCATTCCGGGTATGGAAAAAAAAAAAAAAAAAAGGCAGGTAACTTCAGGGCTAGATACTTTTATGTTTTGTTTTTATTTTTTCTCTAAGTCACTGGAAACAATGTTTTCTTTTGGCTCTGTCTTCAAAATTTTTACCCTTAAAAAAACATTTTTTTTTTTACACTTGCTCTCCTTTCTGGTCTCCCACTACCACCACACAGTTTGCACCGTACACATTTTCTTTCTGTTTTTGTTTTGTGGTGCTGGGTGCGAGACCAAGTCTCACTTCTTAGCCCAAGCTGGTCTCAAACTTTCAGCAGTCCTTCTGCCTCAGCCTCCTGAGTACCCAGGTGACAGGGTTGCACCACCATGTCTGGCCTGCAGTGGGTTTTTAACCTTGAAAGAAGGACAGAGAGAAAATCTTCCATGATTTTATATATATATATCGGCTGCATTTTTAGGAATCTGTCATTGTGATAACTGTGGTAGTCTTATATGCACTAGAAGTAATAAAGATCAGACTGGACTTTTAAAGTACCTGCTCATAGTTTCTCTTGAGATGTCAACTTTCTGATGTCCATTTCACCTCATCATTGAAAACAAAATATTATTCCCTTCAGGTGCTTTTAAAATGTAGTAATACCTCGGTTCATGAACCCTTCTGTTTGCAAACAATTTGATTTCAAACAAAAGTGTTCGGCAAAAATTTACACCTTTGTTCACATGTTCATGCGTGTTCACCTTTGTTCATGCGTGTTGCCAGGCATGGTGATGCAGGTCTGTAATCCCTCTCCTGGGGAGGTAGGAGGAATACGGGGTATTCTAGGCCAGCCTGGGCTGTTTGGTGAGTTTGAGGTCAGCCTGGCCCATGGTGAGACAATGTCTCAAAAAATAATAAGAAAGAACGAAGAAGACAACAAGAACAACAAAAACCAAAAACAACACGAGTGTTTTCCATATTACTAAAGACTTTTCAAGGCTATCATTTTAGTGGTTACTATTCCAGGACTTAGTTTATCCTACTGTTGCATGTTTAAATTGTTTTCTAATTTAAAACAATAAGGTGGGGTGTTCCTTCAGTCTTAGTGATCGATCATCTTACTTGTTTATTCAGTCTCCCTGCAGGGTGCCAGGAGGCCTAAGCAGACTGGAGAGACTCCTAAAGCCTATGTATTTGGAATTAGGAAGCCAGCGGCTGAACTCCCAGGGCTCTTTATGGGAAATTACCCTTCCTCCAAAGATTACCTTTGGAAGATGTAGAAATGTAAATGAGGAAAGCAGAATCCACAACTCTCCTAGTCTGTTGCCCTGGGGCCCAGGTCTTGGTGTACAGACACCCTAGGAAGCCCAAGTTAAGAAAGCAAATGCACTTTGAATTTGGTCTAAGTTCAAAGGGCTTCCTTATTCTCCAAATTGCTTAGGGTGCATTAAAATGACACCTTCTACATCAGAGAGTCTGCATAGTTTTCCTATTGGTCGGGCCTAGATCTGTTTTTGTCAAACATGGAAACCAAGGGGATTGGATGTTCCTAGTTTTCTCCTGGTTGATATTTGGGATGCAGAGTAGGTTTTCCCCTTCCCTTTTTGAGGTTTCCAAAGGGAGTAAGTAATAAATATATAATAAGTATATCCCAGCTGGGTATATCAGAAGCATTTATTGCAAAGTGAATGAGTTCCCAATTTGGGAAAATAACACGTTTTTTAGCTTTTTCTTTGTGTGTGGGGGCGTCCCTCTTGTAGGACACTGTGTGCTAAGTTGAAGTCACCTATCCACTTACTGTGACCTTTCCCTCTCCTTGGCTCAAGAGGTGGTTTATGCTCAGGAAACGTCCTGGGGTCATGTTGAGCCCTGGTTTCCCCAGGCTTAACTGGGGAGAACTTTTCAAAATTGCATTCTTAGGTGAAAGATGTAACACTCTGAAAGCCTTGCAGCAGGAGATAGTGGTCTCTGTCCCACATATCCGCATGCACTTGCAGCTGGTCTTTCGGGAGGCAGGGTGGGAGGAGGTCGCTCCTTTGGTGTCTGAATAAAACTTTGCTTCTTTTGCTTTTGCTTCCCAGCCGTAGAGCTGGCTATGGCCGGAAACTTAAAGCACCAAGCACCCTGAGGGTTCCTCTGGATCTGTCCTCTGTAGCAAGCTGCATAACTACAGACACAAAGACCAGGAAACAATTTACAGGAGACCTTGGGTCTGCCCAAGTCAGCAGGCCCAGGTTATAATTTCAGTTCTGCCACAAATCCGTGGTGTAATCTTAGGTGTCCATTTCCCCACCCATAGCAGATATCAGGAGGGCTGCAGCCTGTGATTTTCTAGCTTTTCAGTCGTTCTCCAGGAGAGCTGTGACCCTGACCTCCGCTGCCATACACCGAGCAAGGGACTTTGTGTGGGGCGTCTTCAGGCACTGCCTGGGGAATGCACACAGTAGTACTTGTTCACCACATGCCTGCACTGGTCACACTTGACTGTGCAACACCAGTGGAATTTACAGTTACAACTGCGCGTGGCCTGAGTTCTCCTCTCTTCCACCCGCAGCCCACACTCGGTGCACAGGCGCCCACAGCTGTGCTGCTCCCGGTGGGATGTGTTGCGGCTGTTCTGCAAGCACTCACGGCCCTCTGTGCCGTGGATGCCCAGGCTGGAATTGTGGGTACAGTAGTCTGGAGATTCCTCTAGAAATACCAGCTCTGCCTCTGCACTGGGAAGGAAGGCCTCAGTAGGAGCCCAGCGGCCCTCGGCGCTGTTGCCGGCCCTTAGGTGCCGCTTGTCCATGTCAATTTTCAGTGCCCGGTCATACTTGGTCTTTAGGTAGCCTCCCATCTCCCGGAAGTCAGCCAGCTGCAGCCAGCATGTCTGGACACTGCAGCTCCCTGAGATGCCGTGACATTTGCAGGTCCTTCTCATGGTGGCTCTTACTGCCTTTACAAAGAGACACAAAGGAAACAATGGCTCTGAGCAAGGGAGGCCAATGGCGACTCATTAAATGGAGTGTTTTAAAGCTGAGTCTCCTGGTTTTGGAGGAGAATCAGAATTACTGGTGAAGTGTAAAAGAATGTATGTCTGGGTCCTAACTCAGATCTTCTCAATGAGAGAATGGTCAGGGGTCTAAGGATGATGATTTTGATGGTGAGCCAGGCAAGTGTGGAGGCTACTAGAGTTGGGAAACCTGCTCCAGGCTTAATGCCATCATCTGTTGAGCAGGTTTATTGGCCCAATTGGAAAAAGAATTGAATAAATTAGGAGTTAGGATGGAGCTCAGTGCTAAAGCACTTGCCTAGCATGCAGAAGGCCCTGGGCACAAGCCTCAACTCAGAAAAAAGCAAAACAAACAAAAACAACTAAATGAAATAATGATCAAGAAAGTACTTTGGAAAAGGAAAAGATGATGATCACACATACTGTTACTGTCTTAAAGCTAGGAACTAGAATATTTGTGCTAGTATGGATGTGTTGGGCTCTCAGAGGGCAGGAAGCTCCTGGAGTTTGAACCCTTACACCGTAAGACAATTACCCATGGGTGTACTTTCCTGAAAAATCTCTTCCCTTGTGCTGAGAAACCAGAACATGTAAGTACATGTTCACAGGAAAATTTCCATAATTTTTGGGTTTAAATCCAACTTTCCAGATCTGAGTTCAGAATACTCTAGAGATTGATGCCCACAAAGAGATCTTAGGGACGAATAAATCAGTCCCAGACAGACTTTAGGACACAAGGTTAGCTAATAAGATCCTATTAGTGTCCTAGAATGTTAGATTAACATGATTAAAATTGTAAGTCATGGAAGTTTTTTGTTTTGTTTTGGTATCAGGTGACTGAACTCAGGACCTTGCGCTTGTGAGGCAGGCTCCAGAACCACTGAGCTAAATCCCCGCTCCTTGTTTTTGTTTTTGCAGTGATTGAACCCAGGGCTCTTTTACTCTGACCTACATTTCTATTCCTTTTCATTTTAAAATTTTAGGCAGGGTCTCGCTAATTCACTAAGTTGCCCAGGCTGGACTCAAACTTTCAATCCTCCTGCCTTAGCTTCCTAGAGTGCTGAAATTACAGGCCTGAGCCATGTCTGGCAGCAAAGCCTTATTTTTTTTTATTTTTTGAGTCATGGTCTCATTATATTTCAAAGGTGCCTTAAACTCATTGTGTGGCCTAGGCTGGGTTTGAACTCACAGGGATCCTCCTGCCTCAGCCTCCTGGGTGCTAGAATTATAGGCATGTGTCATCATGCTTGACTTTAATTCTATATTATTATGTGTTCTCAGAAAACTGCTTGTAGGGAGGGTCAGAGCCTAAGGTTTTGTGATAAGACTAAACCATCTGAGTTCATTGCCCAGCTTTGATGCTTATTAATTGTATTGCCTTGGATAAGCCATTTGTTCAAACCTAACTGGCTTTGTCATCCAGAGGATGAGGACAGCTGTCTCGGTCTTGCTGGGTGGTTGTGAGGATGAAACATGGGTATGAATAGCTTTTGGTAAGCTGTGAAGGGCTGTGCAATGTAAAGCTGTTGCCAATACTGACCGACTCCTATACCCACCAGCCTGCCGGCCCTGTTGTTGTGAAGATTCATCAGGGCTCTGGCATCCTTCCCCTTCTCCAAACTGTCCACAAAGAGTTTGGAGATCCTTTCCCCAAATTCCACATTGTCGCTGCAGCCTCCCCAGATCCAGCCATGGCCTCCTACACATAAGGAAAGAATAAATTCTGCATATGGTTCCCTGCTAAGCCCCAGGAAAAGTCACGGTCTTTTTGGCCGACACAGCCAAACTGTCCCCAGGAGCCCTGGGAGAGTATAAATGCATGACCGAGGGAGATGGGGGAATGGTTCTTGGTATGGGTAGGGGAGGTCCCATTCCAAAGACACTTCAGGCACTTTCCAGCTCTGGGCAGTGAGTCTTCTATACCCATTGTAAATGTAGGCACACTGGAGCTGGCCTAAATGATTTTAGAGCTTCCTTGAGCTTAAGCATCCTGGAACGCGCACCATCATTCTGTAATGATTTTGTTAGCACTCTGTTAGATCTCTTCCCTCCTGCGGGACAAATCTGAGACCATCTCTTAGGTACCTGCAAATAGATGAGTAGCCCTGGGTTATGGACGAGCCTCTCCAATACAAGGAATAGCTGTAAGTTCTCTTCCGCCTTCTCATTTCTGGTCTCCTTGTTTGCTTTAGAGATAAAGTACTTGCTAATCTCTGGCTTCACGCACCCAGCTAAGTCCAGGAGCTCCCAGACCAAGAGTCTAGGGTTTGAGACAGCTGTGCCCTCAGCCTTTTCCGGTAAGGTTTAGCCTACATTCAGCTCTACAGCCCCTCACCTCCTCCTACCCTCACCAGAGAGCCCTGATTACCTGCTTTCCCTTTTTTTGACTCATCACAGCCACAGTTTTCAAAGTCGCCCATGCTGCAGTTCTTGGTGATGGTATACATGACTCCAGCAGAGCTGATGGCATGAATGAAGGAAGTCTCTCGGGTGGCTTTGGAGAGAAAGAAGGGACGGACTAGAAATTGGATCCTGACTGCCCAAAGCATTGGAAAAACAATGCTGTTTTGCTCTCTTTGGCCCCACATCCTTTGGATTTAAGAAGATACTCTTCTTACTTCATCCAGGCACGAATGAGCATCCCCTGGGATCGGCACCTCCTCCTGAAGTCTTTCCAGTAGCCACTGCAGCTGGTCCATGGCAGGGAAACTCTGGGCCACAAGAAGGCTTAGACAGGAGAGAAGGAGCTTTCTCCTTTCTTACTGTGAAGCTGGAGCCTTGTAGTAATCATGATGATTGTGGCTGTCACTACTGAGATTACTAAACTCTTCACAGATATCCTCACGCAGCATTTCCGTACAGCCCTACCATCTCTGAGAGCCCCATGGGATGATAATTCTCTCTGTGCCCATCTTCTTTACTCCCTTTCCTTCAACTCCTCTCGGGCAATTCCACTGTTCCTACTTTTATCTGGGTGTGGCCGTGCACACCTGTGATCCTAGCTACTCTGGAGACTGAGGCAAGGGAATTCGAGTTTGAGCCCAGTGTGGGGAATTTAGTGACTTAGCAAGAACTGCTCTCATAAACAAACAAACGGCTTAAAACAACAGAAAAGGGCTGGTGATGTAGCTCACTGGAAGGCTTCTGGGTTCAGTCCCCATCACCATAAAACAAGCAAGCTGGTAACTTTTATGCAAATTGCTGCACACCGTTATCAGCAAGCAAGCAAGCAAGCAAGCAAGTGCGCACACACACACACGTACACAGACATGCACACACACCCATCTGAAGCAAAACTCCGTGATTTCTGAGTTCACTGTGTATTGCTAGGATACTATAATTGGGCAGTTGTAAAACTCCTTCAGGGGATTCAAACACAAAACCCTTCCCCTACCCCCTCTTTTGTGCTATTAAAGATTAAAACCAAGGCCTTTGCACTGAATTACTATATCACTAGCCCTTTAAAATGTTTTATTTATTATTTGTATTTTTAATTTTGAGACAAGGTCTCATTGAGTTGCCTAGGCTGGGCTCTGACTTGCATTTTTCCCTCCTCAGCCTCCCAGAGTGCTGGGGTTACAGGCATGCCCCAGTGCACCAGGCCTAGCCCCCTCCCCGCTTCAGATAGGGTCTTGCTATGTAGTCCAGGCTGGCCTTGGACTCCTGGTGATCCTCCTGCCTCAGCCTCCTGAGTGCTGAGACTATAGTTGTGCGCTACCACACCTGGCTCCTTTCTTTTCCCATTTTTATTTCATGCAAATCAGCAGAAGCATGTACGAACACAAATACAGGCGTGCATTTAAAAAGTAGAAAAATTCCTTACATTTGTCGTGAGATACTACTGTCCATTCAACCTTTAAAATATTCCTAGTGAGCTGGGTAGAGCTGGTTTTTACCCAAATGACAAAAGTGGCACTGAGAGAAGGGAAGTCACTTAATCAAGGTCACACGACAAGAAGACGGCAGCCCAGCAGGTCACCTGTTGGTGTCACTGTGCACACACAATGCGTGCACACATGCTTCAGGTACGCCCCTTGCCCAGGGAGCTCCCCACAACTTACCACTTCTCAGCCTGTTGTGGGTAGAGAGCTGGAGGGCGTTCTCAGGGCAGTTCCAGCGCTCCCAAGCAAACTGGAACTTACATTCCTCCACGCCACTCTGGGCTCCCAAGGCCACGCTGGTAGTGTAGGTCAGGTAGGCCTGGCAAGGGAAGAGGAGAGGCGGGAAGTGAGCTTCTGCCTGATACAGGCTGCCTGAGGCCAGGGGAGCAGGTAGGACTCACATAAGCCAGCTCTGTCAAGAAACATCTGGGGTCTCTGAGGAAGGGGGCCTGAGACTGTCTCTCCCCACAAGAGTTTCCTTAGGAGCCCCAGAGAGTAAAAAGAGGGGCTGAAGACCATCCTACCTTCGGACCTGTCATCAGGAAATTATTCACTGACCTACCAAAAAGAGAAAACGTGACACGGAGGTGAATACAGATGAGACCACAGGGGCTTCCTGGGTGGCGCGGGAGCGATGGGGCAAAGAGCTTACCAGGCAGAGGTGCTGAAGGTGGCGCAGCCGACAACCACAGCCAGCCACAGCATGAACAAGTCACCCATGGCCCTGTCCACCCCAAGAGGACCAGCACCAGCTAGGGCCAAGTGCAGAGAAGCGAGGAGAGAGCAGGGTCTTTGTCAGTATTTATGTGAGAAAATTCTGAATGGCCAAGGGTGAAACAGCAACACCCGCCTCTTTTGTCCCCACTGGCAGGGCTGCGGGAGACACTGACCCAATGGGGGACCAGGGAGGAGGGGCTCAGCCCAGGCCTTCAAGGAAGCCCCGCCCCACCAGCGGGCGGCCTTCTCTTCCCTCCCAGACTGAGAGCTGGAAACTTTTCTCTTACCCTTGAAGTTCACTTTCTCTGAAAGTCAGTTTCTTTAACTGCCCAAGGTCCCATTTCTCAGAATCATGTACCCTGGAATAGCCTGAGCCCCGACCCTAAGGCTGCTCACCTGTGCTTGGAGCTGCATCCCCGTTTGTCAAAGAGACCTCACCTTTTGCCCTGCCTTCTTCCCCAGGGTGTCGATCTTTGTAGAGCAGTGATGGTGAACAGCCTTTTGACGTGCCACAGGTTCGCCACCACGATCGTGGAGGAGCTCTGTTTGGGAATCTTTTCTACTCATTTACCCAAACAAGTGCGTGCACAGTCCCCCTCTTCCTGGATGACTGAGGGTGAAGGAACTGTGGAACTGCGGAGCAGAAACATTACCGAGGCCATCTCTGCAACAGCCACTTCCATTACTTTTTCCTAGAGTAAGTTTCCTTCATTCCCGGCAGGTCTGCCCTTTTGTATCGTACCTTAGCTCTCCAGTTTGTCAGTCGCTTATATACCTGAGAATCAGTCTTTCGCCACCCAGGGCTATATTTGAAAAAGACTAAGGCCTTTCTTTCTAATAACCGGTACCGTTTTGGGAACAGGGATACTGGGGTGAACCCAGGGTCTCATGCATGCTAAGCACCCCCTCTACCACTGAGCTGTGCTCCCAGCCTGCATCTGATACCCCTTTGCTGCTAGGGTTTGGGCTACTTAGACAGGGATCTTTTGGATCCACTTCGTGTTCTTAGTACCGCGCTTAAGAAGGTACCTGAATGGATGAAGGGAGGGAGGAATGATACAACCTGTGACCTTTTATAGGGACTCAAGGCATAATTAGGCAGGGTTGGGGCTGCATGAAGAGGAACGGGTCTTTCTTGGCTGGTAAAGCTCTTTCCTCTGGCTGAGGGGAAGGAGGCTAGAGGAAAGTCCAGACCGGAAACCACGGTTCTGACTCAGTGTCTTGTGACCTTCGCAGTGTCCAGATCCCTTCTGGGCACCCGGGATCTGCTTTGTATAGGAAAAGAACTCAGCACCCCCCACCACCAGAGGAGCTCAGGGGCCAAGGGTCCCCAGGCGTCTTTAGGGTAGTGCCCTAAGAGCATGGGTCCGGAATGGAGTCGGTCTGCAAGCTAACGTCCTTCTCCCACGAGACAAGTTCACGAAGGATGGGACTGTCTAGAAATTGTTGTAACAGTTCTACAGGATACTTTTAAATATGTTAGACCTAATAATAAGAAATCCAGGCTCCTATTTTGTGTGCTTGCTTTTCTGGTTCTGTGTTTTCTCGAAGGATGGATGTGAGAGTTGTTACTGGACTTAAGCTCTGCTGCCCCAGCAGGCTTCCTTCCTCAGCCTGTCAGCTTCTCTGCTTGGGGAAAAGAGGTGTCCTAGACTTGAGTCACTCGGGGAAAGCTGACTAAGGTTGTCTTGGTGGCCTCTTCTCTGTCTCCTACCTTTCCCAATCAAGAATCTAATGTTTAGCTTTTACTTGTGAAAACAGCAAGGCTGACTTCCATGCCACTCACTGGGATCAGCACAGGGTTGGTTAGTTCTGGAGTAGTGAGGTAGATTCTCCCTTGAAAGTTTTATGTATGCCTGCACATTTATTCTCACTCCGCATTCACTTTTTTTTTTTTTGATACCTCGGATTGAACTCGGGTCCTTGCACTTGCGAGTCAGGCCACCGAGCTGCTGAGCTAAATCCCCGGCCCTCCACATTCACTTTTATTCTTTCTTTTCTTTCTAAATTTTTAAAATTTTGAGACAGCTGGGTGTGGTGGCGCATGCCTGTAATCCCAGCACTGGGGAAGCTGAGGCAGGAGGATTGCTGTGAGTTCAAAACCAGCCTGGGCTACATAGTGATTTCCAGGTCAGTCTCAACTACATAGTGAGACCCTGTCTCAAAAACAACAACAACAACAACAAATAAAATAAATTTTGAGGCAGGGTCTTAACTATGTAGCTCAGATTAACCTCGAACTTGTTATGTAGCCCAGGCTGATCTGATCTGTAACTTGTGATTGTCCTGACTCAGCCTTCCAGATGGCAGAGTCACCTGTGCCACCATGCCTGACTCTTCATATTCACTTTCTGTGTGTAAGGAATTTTTTTCTGTGTCCCTCAAAGCTCCTAGGATTTGGTTGGTACTGTTTGTTTGTTTGCACTACCATGCCTGGCTTACTTGGAACTCTCTAAAAAATTCTACTGTATTTTCTAGGAAGCAGAAAGGAAGAAAATGAGTCTGTGCATGTCTGCAATCTTGTGTTTGCTTCTGCTAAGATTCTCTAAAGATCATATAGTTTTTTAAATGGAATTGAGGATGTTAAGGGAAGACCTCTGCTTTGGATATCAGAAGCCCTGTGCTTTGGCCATTATTTTTTTATATGGCCTTTGTAAATTACTGACCTCCATTTGGACTGTTTCTTCAACTACAAAATGAAGGAGTAGAGAAAATGTTTAATATTAAATAACCCTAAGGACTTTTCCAACTCTCTTAACATGGTATAATACTAATTTTAAGATTTACAAAAGCTATGCATGGTTGCACACATCTGTGATCCAGCTCTCTGGGAGGCTGAGGCAGGAAGATCTTAAGTTTGAATCCAGCCTGGACAATTAAGCAACTTATTGAGAACATATTTCAAAATAAAAAAACAAAAACAAGGGCTGAGGATATAGTTCAGTGCAGAGGCCCTCGGATGAGTCCCCAGTACTGCAAACAGATAAAAAGAGAACCTTTTAAAAATAATGGAAGTTTTACAAAGCAAGACTCTTATCTAAAAAAAAATATGGAATTTATTAATTCCAGGGGTCATTGTAGGCTAAAAATGGAGAAATCTTGTTTTCCCTAGCTTTAAGCATAGGAATCATCCTACTCAACTTTGAATCCTGCAGTTGGCATCAGATGGACTTTTTTTTTCCAGTTTTTTTGAGATAGGATCTCACTATGTAGTTCAGGACGGTCTTGAACTCACCCTGCAGCCCAGGCTGGCCTGAAATTCGTGGTGGTGCTCCTGTCAGCCTCCTGAGTGCTGGAATTTCAGTTGTGCACCACAGCGCCTGGCCCCGTAGTCCCTCAGGGTTTGTCTATGTGAGAGGCTGAGGCGACCGGCTGAGGTCCTTCACTGCAGACGGAGGGAACCTTAGCAAGGAGAAAAGGCCAGAGATAGCTGTGCTGCACTGAGTCCACAGGTCTTTTCCAGCCCACCTGCACACCGATTTCCTTAGCACCAGCTCTCTGTCTCATTCATGTTTTGCTTTGTTTTTCAAGCGGGGGATTGAACCCAGGACCTTGTTCTACCACTGAGCTTTATCCTCAGCCTGCCCATCGGATTAGTTTTTAAGCAATAATCCAAGTTTCTTGATTTCTCTTGTCCATGAGTGGAAATCTGGAGCAGAACACCAAGAAAATGAGTGGGGATAGAGCAGGCCAGGGACAAGACAGACAAAAACAGTGGTGTCCCTGAAGTAGTCGTGTGCTGGTGAATGGTTAACAGCTGGCTTTGGTGAGGCCTGGGCCGAGTTAAACTCTTCTAATATGGTCTGGGGAAGAGGAGCACAGTAGCATATGATTATGCGGTATTTCTCTCATCTAGATATATAGGAGATGTAAAGAGCCTCGAGAGTATAAATGAAAGAAAAATGTTGACAGACATAGTGATGCATGCCTGTAATCCCAGCACTAGGAGGCTGAGGCAGGAGGATCGCAAGTTTGAGGTCCGTCTGTACTACATAGTGAATTCAAGGTCAGGTCAGCCTGGATTATGTAGCAAGACCTTGTCTCAAAAATGAGACAGAAGAAAAAGGAAAGGAAATAGGAAAGAGGAAAGGAAAGGGAAGGAAGGGAGGGAGGGAGGGAAAATGTAACAAACTAATTACAAAACAATGAATTCTTAGTATTGATTGTTTTTGGCTTTTTTAGTTTTTTGAGATAGAGTCTCTCTATGCAGTCCAGGCTGGCCTTGAACTCACTATGGGGCACAGGAATCCTGGGATTACAGGTATGCATCTCTACACCCAAACTGGCTGTTTTGTTTGTTTTTTGGCGCCAGGGATCAAATTCAGGACCTTGTGCTTGTGAGATACGGCACGATGCCACTGAGCTAAGTCCCCGGCCTTTGTTTTATTTTTTTGAGAAGGGATATTGCAGATAGTCTAGGTTGGCCTTGAACTCATGATACTCCTGCCTCAGCACCCCCCAGTGCTTATAATTTAATTAATTAATAATTCATTGAATGATTTTATAGTACGGGGGAGTTGAACCCCAGGATCTTTGCCCTGAGCTACGTCCCTGTCCTTTTTTACTTTTTTATTATGAGACAGGGTATTCCTAAATTACTAAATTGCCAAAACTGGGATTGAACTCGTGATCCTCCTGCCTCACCCTCCCCGAGGCCTGTACTACCATGCCTGGATCGATTTAATTTTTAAGGGCTGTGTTTTGTTCTGTTGTTTGTTTGCTTTGTTTTGCTTTTTGAGACAGGGTCTTGCTATGTAGTTCAGGCTGGCCTTGATAAAGGCTGTGTTTAACAACCAGTTTGCAAAATTCCTGAATATAAAGATCAGCTCAGGAGCCTACAAGCAGCCTCCAGCACAACACTGATGCCTGGAGTTCTCCCTCTAGAGCACTATGAGGTAAAGTGCAAAAGATTTCCCTGCGGAATTCAACACCAAATGATTGTTCCTGGTGTGTATGGGGCTTTAGGTGCCTAGTGTAAAGGAGGGCTGGGGTGTGGATCTGTTATTGTGTAGGGCAGAGAGTGTAAGTGGAATACATTAAGCACTTTCACCGGGAGAGGTATTCACAGAGCTGGGGAGGAGTGAGAGCAGCTAACCCTGAAGGCCCTGTCACCTCCA